TACCTCAGGTATTTTTGTTATAGCAACAGGTAACTGTCTAACACAGTGAATGTATGAATTATTCAAATTTCCAACAATTATTTGGTTTACAATAACAGAAACTATGTTCCACTTTTTGCCATTGGAATTCTAGTGATTATTATAATAATCAGTACAAATGCTCATGTACAGGACAGATAGAGAAGATGTATTCCAGGAGCAATGGGGAAGGCAAAGTGGGAGTCCTTTCTTGGTGACCACTCAGAGGCAGAAGATAAAGGAAAGGACAGAGTTGATGGGAACATGTGGGCTTATAGTTTGGAATCCGAAGAAGAGGGGTATGGCCTTCAGTAGAAACACAGAAGGGAGGATCAGATCTGTGCTGGCAGAAGGGGCGCACGGTCATGTGAGACTTATTGAAGGTTCCTGTTCAATGTTCAGGAAGCTCGGTATACAGGTATACAGTACAGGTATACAGGTGGTTCTTAGCCGAGTCCAGGATGGAGGCAAAGCAGATGTGATGAAAGAGCTAGAAAAAGACAGGAAACCAGGGATGGTGATGTCAGAGGATCCAAGGGCAATGCTGGGTCGTAGTATTAAATACAGTTGTGTTTTGTTGTTGCTGTTGGTTTTAATTACATTTATGTGGTGTGTGTGTGTGTGTGTGTGTGTGTGTGTGTGTGTGTGAGAGAGAGAGAGAGAGAGAGAGAGAGAGAGAGAGAGAGAGAGAGCGTGCGCCATGGGAGGTGTATAAAAGTTGTAGAGGTCAAAGGACAACTTGTAGGAATTGGTTCTTTCCTTTCCCATGGGAGTTCCGGGTCATACAGCTTGGTGGCAAGCATCTTTATTGGCTGATCCATCTCACTGGCCTTTAAACTTATTATTATTATTGTTGTTGTTGTTAGTTATTATTATTTTTACTAGCAGTTTTTAAAGGTCATTATGACAAATGATGATTTTGACAAATTTGTGGACTGATGAACCAAAAAGACAAAAGAAAAAAAATTCTACAATATAAAACACAAAAGCAACCAGATTTTAGTAAGATAAAGTACTAGGAAAAGAACATTCACAGGCTAGGTATGTTGGTATGTATCTGTAATCCCAGCACTTGGGAGGCTGAGGCAGGAGCATCACTGTGAGTTCAAGGTTTGCCTGGGCTACATAGCCAGATGATGTCTTGAAAATAAAAGCAATCAGAAAGTGTTTTAAAAGAAAAGTTCATTTTTAAAGACTGGGTAAATAATGCCTAAAACTGGACAAAGTGATGGAATAAGCTTTATAAATAAGCTTTATAAATCCATTTATTCCACCGTATTTAACAAGCACCTCTGTAGGTTCTTGAGACAGAGGTGGAGAATGAGACACTTTTGCTTAGGAGCCTATAGCCTGGAAGAGAGTCTATACGCAGTGTGGAGTGTGTCATCAGGGAAACAGGACAGGTGTTCTGAGAGGGGGTAACTGGGGGTCCTGGGGAAGATGGGGGAAGGGTTGGTTCAGAAAAAGCTTCTCCAAAGAGTTGGTGAAGAAAAGGCTTCAGATAAAAAAAAAGGTATTGCGACAGAAAAGAGGCAATAGAATGGGGAATGGGAACTCATCTAAGCGTGGAACGGAAGGAACCAAGATGGAAGGGTGTCATTCTGGAGTATCAGACACCAGCTCCAAGGCTTGAGGGTGACTGGTGAGTGCGCTGAAGGCGAAGCTGTCAGTCTGCAAGCAGGAGGCTGGCTGTCCAATGGCCACCTTGTTCGCTGTGAAATAGCGGAAGTGCTGAGGCAGGAATGACCTAGGTTGGGTGGTAAAGGGAAATGGCTAGTGTGGGCAATGGAAGAGAGAGCTGCCCTCACTTGCCTGCCAGCCCTCAGTTCTCTCCCAAGTCCTCACAAAGCAATAATTGCTTTTGCATTTCCACTACCCAAACCCTGACTGATTACCAAGGCAAAGGAGTCTTGGATTCTTCAGTGCTTATGTCTAAACCATCCTCAGTGATCTCAACTATCATTCATTTTTACTACTTTCATAATTAAGCAATGTATTCAACAGGAAGCAACTAAATGCCAAATATGTGGATATTAATTGTCTCCTCAGGAAGCCCATATCCACAGGAAACTGTTGACATCCTCTTTTCAAAGGCATTCTCCTCCTTAATAAACTGGCTACTTCCCATTCACTTGATGTCTAGATATCTTAAATGCTTTCTCCTTTTAATAAAGCAAATCCTGGGTTGGTTTTTTTTTTTTTTTAAATCACTTTAAGCACAGTCAATTACCTCCTGACAAGCAGGCAAAAATGAAAGCATTTCTTTAGGAGGAGTCTATAGGCAGGAGCTACTGTTGGCACAGAATCAAGTGCATGCTAAGCTATGAAAGCTGAACAATCTCCCCAGTCATATCCATCCACACTCAGGCACATGCACAAATCAACTGGCCTCTAAGGACTTCTACATCTGATGGTATTTTTTCCAGATTTGACCCCAATGGAAGTACACTAGTCTCTTATACTAAGGTTGGGAATAATGAATCAAAAGTATCCACCATTACAACAAATTGGATATAAAGCATCCAAAGGCAATTTTCTTGCACTTCAGATAGTACAAAGGGCTCCTGGTGATCTCTCACTAAACAAGATGGACAAGTCTGCCACCAGGGAAAAGAAACCCACAAACTGTCAGTGAAGGGAGGTAGGGAAGACTGGGATCAGTGAAGAGAAACGAGCAAGAAAACTGAGGGGGGATAGACTGAGTGAGGGGTTAGATCCCACAAAATACCAGTCTGCAGATACACCTCCCTACACACACACACACACACACACACACACACACACACACACACACCTCTCCCCACACACATGCATGCACGCACGCACGCACAGGCACACACACACACTGGAACACACACTCTAGCAGAAGTGTGAATGAATCAATCTGGTCATTAAAGTAATAAAAAAAATAAAGTAAGTCTCCTCAGACTTAGTTAAAAAAAAAAAATCTTACCCTAACTGCTATCAATTTAAAATTCTAACAGCTCAGATTCATTTCAAAGACACAAACACCCCGGGCTTCCTCTAAAATGCAGAGGGCAAACCCTTGGGCCAGGTACACCTCTGCAGGCAAGGGCAGATGAGGAGCAAGGGAAAGGTGCCCACTCCGCCAGTTTCCAGGCTGATGCTTGCAAACTCACAACCAGAGCCAGCAAGGGGAGGGGAGAGAGTGGATGTTGGGAGGTACAATACAGTTGACCTGGCAGTTTTTCACTCCCCTACCCCACCCCTCCACCTCCGACTCCTTTCCTAAAAGACAGGGAATAACAGGCCCCGGGAGAAAATGCTAATCTAAGTGCTATGCAATTTACAAAAAAGTTCAAGAACGGCTTTTCAGCCCAGCTCCCAGCTCCTTTTAACTACTTTTGACTTCGTGTAAATTGTACCAAACAGAAAAAGAAAGCACCTATCAGCACAAAGCTCTGTTGGACCAGAAGCCGCCACGGGGAAACACCCAGCCGCAAAGCTACAATGGTCCTAGCTGTCACTTCATGCTGGCTGGCCCGAATCTCTATTAAATAAGCCCTTTTCAATGGACAGTGCCCCTCACACTGCATAGCGAGGTACATGGGCCACACCGAAAGCCTACATGGCAAAACGCAGAGCTTTCCCTGCTCAGATGCGGCGGGAGCTGTGCCTAACTTGCAACTTAGCAGTCTCCCAAGAAGCTTCTTGAAAAGAAAGGGGGATTTCACAACCTTGAACACCCCCACCCACCTAGTTTCCCCCCCACCCCCGCCACCCCTACTCCCACCCCCATTTACAAGTGGACTTTTGTATACCCAAAGTTCCAGGAAACAAAGCACACAAACACTCACCCACAAATAAACTCCCAAGCTAACACCAGCTATAATAGTGTTTTGGTTGGAATTTTTCCAGCCCTGTCACCAGCTCTGTTAGCAGTAAATGAAACTCTTGCTTTTGCAAAGACAGAGAGGGACCAACTCTCCTATTTCAAATGGTAAAAAGCCCCCCACCCCCCCATCTTTCAGTCCCCAGCAAAAACTAACTGCAGAAGAGCTGGCAAGGAAAAACAAAAACAGGGGGGGGGGAACCCAATATATTCCCCAAATAAAGATCTTTCACTTCTCTCCTCACCCAGCTTCCCCTTTTAGCCGGAAATACATGTCCCTTCCAATTTCTGACACCCCTTTTCAAGGGACCCTGACTTGGTCTTTTCCTGGGAATCCAGCTTTGGGCTGTCCCCAGGAAGGCAGGCAGGCAGGCAGCCCATTCCAGGCGCGTTTTGTATTCTTAACAGCCAAAACTCGCTTTCTCCTTTCGAGAGAAATCTGAAAAGCAGCCTTGGTGGGCTGGCTTGGCTAGGTCTGGTGCTGGATCCCTTGCCTCTTAACTGCCCGCCTAGTGGGACAGGGCTGCGCGCTGGGCTCTCAGCAGAGTCCAGCCAGGCTGGGGAGAGACAAAGTTCCCCACGGCTCGCTAGTTGCTCCCATCAGCGCCTGCTCCCGCCTTCCTCCACATTCCTGCGCTGAACTTGGCGGAGCCGAGCGGCTGGCGTACCTTCCTTGGGCTCCTCCGCCTCGGAGAGCATGCTGTCGGGGTGCACAGCCGCAGGCGCCACCGCCGCGGACATGGACGTGAGGCTGCGAGGCTCCCAGACGAGTGCGATGCGCGCGGGCGGGACGGCGGTGGGAGGAAGCCGCTGAGATCAGAACCTCCCGGGGCGGGCGGCTGGCTGCGGGAGGGATTTTCAGGGGAAAGTTCCGCAGGAGTGACGAATCGCGCGGGGCTGGGCCACAGGAGTCCGCCCCCGAGGGGCCGCCGTGGGTGGAGGCGACCCGGCAGGTGGGGCCCAGCGCAGGAAAGGTGCCCTGGCGAGAACGGAGGTGCGGGGTGCAAGCTCGCACTGCATCTAGGGGGGTGACATTTTTGATATTCCCTGTCTAGGGTTTTGACATGCCCCGATTTATGAAAAACCCTTTCAGGACTGTTATTTTTCAGGCTAGGCATACAGATGCTGTGCAAGCTTTTGGAAGGGTCCCGCTCACGAGGCACAAACTTCACCAGTGCCAGGAATGGCCTCTAAGGAAAGTAGGACAGGATTGGCAGAAGCCCCTTATGCATGGCTGGCTCCCTCTAACCAAGCTGCTGGGCGCTAAAGGCCTCTCTGGCTTTGGGAAATGCTGCCAGACGGGAGATAAAAGGGCAAAGGGCAGGAGGGCCCAGAGAAGAGCAGCCATCCTGCCCTCCCCTCCCCAACTGGCTCTTACCATTGGCTCAGAGGAAGTCCTCTTAGCTCTGGGGTGGTCCCGGTTTGCCCTTCAGAGAAGTGGGCACGACCGCTTCCACCAGCCTACCTGTCTTGCGGAGGTATTGATTTTACCAAGCCTTGTTTTCCACCAACCCTAGGGTGCGGGGCCTCAGGTGACAACCTGAATGGAAACACCCAATGGAAAAGCATACCCGGCTGGAGGCTGTGAGGAGAGGTACAGTCTTTAAGAAATGTATTTCCCACTGCCTTCCTTCTCCTTCTCTTTTATTTTTACGTAGGGGAGAGAAGGCCCGGGCTCTATTGCTAAATTTAATGAAAGGACTGTGTAAACTGCCCAGGTTTTTCGAATCTGAGTTTAGCTTTAGTTCTGCCATGTATTGTTTATATGGCCTTAAGCAAAATCATAATAATAATAATAATAATAATAATAATAATAATAATAACCTCTCATTTGCTCATCTATAAAAGGAAGATAAAAGCAATATCTAAATCACAGATTTGTTCGGTACTATAAACAGAATGATTTGATAGTGTAAGTGCTGTACACAGGTTATCATTAACTATTGCAACTTCTGACAATCAATTTTTGTAAAGGACTCTCTTGCCTTTTATTTCAGCATTAAGTCTGAAGAGTATCAATTCTATTCACAGGCAAGGGGATATTATAAATAGTAACATAAGGTCTGATATTAAATCGGTTCCTATTGTTGGGTGAGTCTAACATGCCTAGGACCCTTCCAAAATTTTATCTCCATTTTATTGAAAGGGCAAGGTGAACCAAGACATAACAGCCAGAGGGAAGAAAGGAACATCTGGAAAACATCAGTGCTGTGCCTACGGAAACTGAGCATGCCTGGAAAAGGGTAAGTAACAGGCTGCACCCTTCTGAAATTGTGGTTACCATGGTCTCCCTTGCTCCACATCCTAGTGCTGCTGGGAGGGGCAGCCTGTGCTCCCTAATTTTAGGCTCATGGGGGACACAAGCTGAGCTAAGGATGGGGATGGTTCTGAATCAAAAGAAATGGTCTCTTGCCCGTCACACATGGCCTTGCCTGTCCTTCTGAGGAATCATTCTGCCCCTTGCTACGCTACAGCATCTGGTCTTGCCTTCCCTCCTCCACAGGCCAGATGTCCACAGATGTCCACCAGGGGCTCTGAGGAACCGCGCCATGGCCAGTTGCTACACAAATGAGACAACTTCCGTCAATCTATAGCTGGGGTGAAGCAGCACCTTTTCAAAGATAGGTGATGATTATGCAAATGAGGTCAGCCCAGCTTCCACATCCGTTTGCCCCAAGCAGAACGACTTTCTCTCCTCCTTCAGAAAGCGCCCCTTTATGTAATATTCACTAGATGTCCTTTCACAAACCCAAGTGCATGCACACCTCCTCAGGTCTGGCAAGTACAAGTCCTTAATCCCCTGCTTGCTTTTACATGGGTTCACAGAACGGCCTGCAGGTCAGCCAAGGAGAACAAATGCTGAGTGAACGGTTTGAACACCACCACAGCAGCCCGGTAATCAACTTAGCATCCTGTTAACAGCCCCGCTGATCTTTGAACATTCACCGGGAGCCTCGAGAAAACGCCAGAGAAATTTGTTTTTATTCGAATACAGTCCAGCAGTCACCTTGGGGAAGAATGTTCGGATCTAATTCAAGAGCACTGGATGCCCAGCTTATTTAAAAAGACTGTCTGTACACGATAAGCATTCCATAGCCACTGGCATAACCCCAGAGCCATCTGCCCTGGGCAAACGACTCTGCTTCAGCCTCCAACTTGCAAAATCATGGCAACGGATGGCAGGATGTCTAGGGTTCTCTTTGCCTCGTGCTACTTCCAAATGAATGCTTGGTAGTGTTGATTTTTGCTAGGGCTTTATTCAAAGAGGGTTGGGCTAGCCACAGTGACTAATGCTCCGGTACACCATAGTGATCTGCTACTTCCTCTCAGACCTATTCACTTTCTGTCTTGAGAAGATCAGGTTCATGGATCGTAGGCTGGTTTGAAATTTGTATATGACCAAGTATGGCCTTGAACTTCTGATTCTCCTGCTGTCATGCTCAATGTTCTGGGATTATAGGCTTGAACTACCACATCTATTCTATGTGGGTCTGGAGATGGAACCCAGTACTTTATGAATTCTAGGCAAGCACTTTACCAGCTGAGCTATATCCTCAGTCCCCTATTTACTCCTGTATGTTTAAGAGACAGTCCAGCATCCTTACTTGGGCAATAAGCTCAGAATTCACATTAACCATCCATTATAAAATGCCTAATATAAAATAGCAACTCAGTTGGCAACATCTCTGAACTAGAAGAAGGCATACTGTGATATACTGTTGCATTCCACACCTGTGTAATAATGGAGCTGTCCCACCTCTATCAATGGGAGAACTACAAAGGTTCTAATGATTTATCCATCCATTCAGACATTACCCAATATTTACACAGGTCACATATAAATGGGTCTTCCTTAGCTGGAGCTTCCGCCTATAATTTTGATAAATCTGGACCCCAGATTAAGTGAATTCCTCTCAAGGCACTTGGTTCTGTGAAAAACCTATTAATACCAACCCAACTGAACTGAGTCTTAGTAAGTCAACTGAATCTCATGCAACAGGACAAGGCTCCTTTGAATCACACTCCAGTGAAGCGGTTTTTAAAAGAGGGGGTGGCTGCAGCCTGGGCTTCAGGCCCTTTGGCTTACAGAGACCCCGATGCCTCTGAAGAACCAAGTAGGTTGGAGACTTCTCAGCTCAGAAGGCCATTGAGCGGAAGTGGCTCTTCAGGAGTGTCACGCTATCACATTCCCCAGCAGACTCAAGGAGAGTCTGGTCATCTGCGGTGGAAACCAGGTACCTCTGCCAGCTACTTCTGTGCTGGCAAATGCTGCCTCATAAGCATCTCTGGTCATGCTATCAATGTTTTTATTTTTATTTCTGCCCTGCTGAATCCGAACGTATAAAATTATAGGTCACAAAATGTCCGTTTACAGAGTATTCAAAATGGCCTTGTTTCACTCTGGGGCTGTCCTCAACGTTTCTATTTCCTGTCTTCAAAGACTCCCAGGAACCCTGTACAAAATTGACCTTTATGCTGTTCTGAAACGTGGAAAAGGGTCTTTGTTTTTGGTCCCATCTGGTCGGGGCTGAGGCCCTTCCACCCTCAAGACACCATTCACACTCAATCTCCAAAACACAGGGAGGCCTCACTGGGAGTCTCTCCACAGCCCTCCTTGCCCCGCATCCCTGCTCTTAGTGAGGAAAGGGTACTCGTTTAACATTGGAGGCCATTCCACTTCATGTGGCCTTCTATGCTGATGTGTTGACTAGCAGAAGGGGGAGGGGGAGGAGTCGAAGCGTGAAGTGGAACAAAAAGTGCCTGGATCAACCGCGAGAGAGCGTGGAGGGAGGCGGGAAGAAAAAGGGGCACTGTCACCAGACTCTGGGAGTGTGTGGCTCCGGGTAAATTCCATTCAGACTTTCGATGACAGTTCCAGCAAATCTTACATAATCATTAATATTCTGGGTGTGAGCAAATAGTTGTGAGGGAGCAGGAAGGCGCGCTGACACCGAGGTGCGCACTGGCAGGCCGACAGCTATGCATCTGGTGCGCACTTGTTTCCTAGGAGCCCATTGTTTGTTTCCGTCTCTCTCCGAAGACATCATCCTTGCCACGCAGCTCCGAGTAGATGATCACAAAGCCAGTGTGTGCGTGCGGGTGCGCGAACGCACACATCTCTCTCTCACCCACCCACCCACACATCACACCACACACATCACACACCACACACACATCACACACCACACACACACATCACACCACACACACACATCACACACCACACACCACACACGTCACACCACACACATCACACCACACAAACATCACACACCACCCACACATCACACCACACACACACATTACACCACACACACATCACACCACACACACACACACCACACACACCACACTACACACATCATACCACACACACATCACACCACACACACATACACCACACCACACACATCACACCACACATATCACACACCACACACACACACACACACACACCACA